GCGGTCACATAGAGTAGGCTTCCAATCATAGACCGATACAATTTTTTATCTACCTTATTCCACTTGCATCATTATCCAAGTTGACATTGGTTCCCATTGGTGTGCTAATGGCTTTGCTATCATTCATGCCAAACTTTTTGATCATGTCCTTGATGTACTTACCTTGACTCACAAATGTACCATTCTTCAATTGCTTAATTTGAAGACCAAGGAAGTAACTTAACTCTCCAATCATGGACATCTCAAACTCATTAGCCATCATCTTTCCAAACTCATCACAAAAAAATCTTGATTGGTTGATCCAAATATGATGTCATCAACATAGATTTGCAACACAAATAAATCTTTTCAATCTTCTTGATAAAAAGAGTGGTGTCAACCTTGTCCATCATGAACCCTTTAGAGAGTAGGAAGCCAAGAGAGTGAGCTTGAGCCGACCATAGGGCTTAAATAGAAGCCCCATGAAATAGAGTCGTTGTACCCCTTCACTGGGTACAGCGTGGGGTGATCGGACGCTCCTGGTCGATCGACCGGACGCTGGCCCTCGCTCGTCTGTCATGTGATACACGCCACATGTCCCCTGCTTCAAATGTTGTTCGTCGATTTCAACGGTCATCTGTTGACTGACACAGCAAGACAAACTGACCGGACGCTCCGCCTCTAGCGTCCGGTCATTTCCAGTAAGGTTCAAGAAATGAATTTCTTCTACTCGGACGCGTCCGGTCATGCTTGACCGGACCCTGCCAATGTCCGGTCACACAATGATGACTTTCTGCGCCGTCGACAACATGACTGGACCCAGACCCTTAGCATCCGGTCGAGTGCATGACCCAACGTCCGATCATTCACCGACACTAAGCGTCTTCACTGCTACACATGGCCGGACGCTGCCGGTCCCCCAGTCCCAAGCGTTCGTCACTGTATAGCCAATGACATAAACTCCTTTTCACCTCTAACTTCTTCACCCTTGCTCAAATGTGCCAACCACCAAGTGTATCACCTTGTGCACATGTGTTAGCATATTTTCACAAACATTTTCAAGGGTGTTAGCATTCCACTAGATCCTAAATGCATATGCAATGAGTTAGAGCATCTAGTGGCACTTTGACAACCGCATTTCGATACGAGTTTCACCCCTCTTAATAGTACGGCTATCAATCCTAAATGTGATCATACTCTCTAAGTGTCTTGATCACCAAAACAAAATAGCTCCTACAGAATATACCTTTGCCTTGAGCTTTTTGTTTTTCTCTTTCTTCTTTCCAAGTCGAAACATTTGATCATCACCATTCCATCATCATCATCGTGCTATGATCTTCATTTGCTTCACCACTTGGAGTGTGCTACCTATCTCATGATCACTTGATAAACTAGGTTAGCACTTAGGGTTTCATCAACTCACCAAAACCAAACTAGAGCTTTCACCTGTCAAAACAAACACTCAAACTTTTATCAAATTCACCCTGCGGCACTACCGGACCTAAACAACGACATTGCCGCACCTGCAGATAACTTTGAGTCATAGTTCAAAGTCCGTGAATAAAAACTTAGATCGGCAAAATTTTCTAACTTACTGCAGATATGACAATCACAGATCAAGAGCTAGAAGTGGTAGAAACACCACACACAAGTAGATCGACTAAAAACCCTAGAAATCACCTCAACCACAATATGTCATGCAAGTAATGTAAATCAAGCACAAGTGACACCATGATTTATCCCGTGGTTCGGCTCACCACCAAGGCTTACCTACCTCCACGTTGTTGAGGTTAGCCACTAAGGTTTAGAGCTTTCTAGCCCTTCCTCGTTCTCAAGTCAAGAGACTTAACTCTTGAGATGAGGGGTGAGTTTACTAGCTTCAAGAGATGGTTACAAACCTCCCGGGGCTGCCACACAAAGCATAAAAAAAGCTACAGTAATCTTTTGCAAAGATGATAACCCGAGACGTCCAACTCTATCTCTTTTTTGCTCAAAGTAATTATCATGTTGCTCTACAGCTTGCACTATGCGAAGGTATAACGTACGAGACATCCTAAACCTGAGGGACAAATCCAAACTAAGTAAACATGGACATAGGAATGTGGATAAAGAAGGTACACAAAAATTAACAGGCTATTAGCAAACCTGCGCCGGAAGAAAGGTGGCCCGTAGGTTGGATTTTCGGAGAAATAGTCATTGTACAACCTTCAATGCCCACTTTCTCTATCCCGATGAATGTACTGACGCCTAGGTACAGAACCACCCCATCGTGGAGTATGGAGAGCTTGATATTGAGGGTGTGCTTGGTGTAACGCAGTAAGGGTTTCCTCAAGAGCATCATCACCATCATCGGATGAAGAAGATGAATCTAGTCGGGAGAGACGACTCATTTTCAGTGGACAAGAAGCAGCGCAATGTCGGAATTGGTTCAGGAAAGGGAATGGCCATACATATATATAGACGGAAAAATATAGCTGTTGCAGATAGAGCGACCGTTTGATTTATAGCCGTTGGAAGAGTGACCATTTGATTTATAGCCATCGGAAGAGCGACCATTTAATTTATAGCCGTTGGAAGAGTGTCAGTTCAAATATATAGCCGTTTACAAATAAAAAAATATAGTTGTAAATTATTTGAAAAAATAATTCCTCCAATATTTAGCCGTACAAAATTGTCATTAACAAATATCCATTCCAATAATACTAACACGGTTTAGATATAAAATGCTGGACTTGGTAGTTACAAGTTATGTATAAAATATAGGTGAGAGAAAATATGGAGCCTAAAATGAGAGTTCGGTTGGAGAGCCGGGAGAAATGAGGGCTGGAATCTGGATGAGGGATCCTTATTTGTGGGAGCAGAGGGCTAAATTTTGAGGGGTTTGTTGGAGTTGCCCTAACACCGTTGCTCTGTTCTCTCCACCTTGCGTCCTCTAGCTTCCTACCCCTTTCTTCTTCCCCAAATTCATCCCCTCCGATCTAGTCCGCCAACACCATTCCTCTCACCCAGTGTCATGATCAGTATACCACTCTTGATCAGTATAGTATGTCTCGCCCACGAAGACGACAACCTTGGTCCAATCCCGCCACCCGCTGCAGGGGCTGCGCCGCCAACAAGCGTGCTGCAAGTTGTCAGAGAGGTCCTCAAGCTGAGGATGTGGCAGCCCGAGACGGGAACAATTTGGAGGCCCGTCTCGCCGTTGGCCGGGATCGGGACGACCGGCGGCGACGACAACTAACCACCACGCCATCAACGTCGGTGGACATGGAGGCGACGATAGCAGAGGCGGAACTAGGGGGCGCCAGCAGGGGCCACGCCCTCCCCCCTAAGCAGCAAAGTTTTTTATGACCCCCGTCAGCAGCCTAGCCCAGCAACAAAAGCAGAGATGTTGTAGGCCTGGTCCCGTGCTTGATGATAGGAAAAAGGGGACACCTTTGCTCATGTCACGCATGACGCATCTTATTGCTCACGGGCAGGGGTGTTTGGATTCAGAGACTAAAATTTAGTACCTGTCACATCGAACATTCATATGCTAATTTAGAGAACTAAACATTAACTAATTATGAAACTAATTACACAGATGGAGGCTAATTTGCTAGACAAATTTATTAAACCTAATTAATCCATTATTAGCACGTCAAATCATGGACTAATTAGACTTAATAGATTCGTCTCATAAATTAGTCTCTATCTATGCAATTAGTTTTATAATTAGTCTATATTTAATACTTCAAATTGTGTCAAACATCCGATATGACAAGGCTAAAGTTTACTGCACTACTCTGACAGGGACTAATTAAATATAGACTAATTACAATGAGTACCGCACTGCTTAGCTCGGTTGATTTTAACGACGGTGGCCCTATTTGTTTTTCTTATAATCCTTCTTTTTTAGCTTGTTAACGTTTGTCTGTCGTCACAAATCAGCCGTGTTTTAGCTTCAGCGAAGCGAACGGGGCCGGTGGAAAGAAACAACGGGCGCTCTCTGCTGTCTGCAACTGCGACTCTCGAGGGGTGGTTCAGGCGTCCAAATAGATCTACCCACCAACCCCCTGCTCACATGATCAGTATAGGATGGTTTGATTGCTATAGTCTGTCTCGCCCTCATAGCCATTAGCGTCTTGGTCATCCTTGCCATCTGCCGCGGCGGCCACGGCGACGACAACCTGCAGGCGGGCTAGCAGGGGCCAACCCCCCCCAAACTTTTATATATATTCCTCCTTCAGCCAATTTTGAAGGAAATGAGTTCTTGAAGGTGCTAGCAGGGGCATGAACTGTCAGTACATAAAATCCTTGCTTTTGCCAGGACTGCAAAACTACATACCAAAATAATATTTGAATATAAAAGGGTAGTAAACTCAGATCATAACCTTATTCCTTAGCACTCAGCAGCATAAACATTAGGTGGAATTAGTTGAATAATAATGAATTCTTAGAATGGAAAAAGATGATTACTTGGTCATGTTTAAATCTTGTAAGTTTGACTGAGAATTTTTTGTCGTGGATAAACAGTAAAACACGCTGCCACACACCCAGGAAGCTAGAGTTTTGAGCAGTGCAACTTGCAAAATACTTGATGAAATTTCTTTGGAAATCAACCGCGCGAAGTTTTTTCATACAATATGGCATACTAGAAACTGGAAAAAGAGATGACAACTTGCCCATTGGGAAAAAAAATCCTGTCTCAAAGTCAGAAGATAGCTTGTGGGAATGGTGTTTGAATGCATGAATTTAGTAGCATCGCTCATTGTTGTCAACTCAATTCATTATACGCAAATCAATATTCAATGTGATCATAAGCATTTAACACATATTCTCACAAATGAAATGAGAATATCTATCACATCACTCCTACAATAAGTTCAGTACAAAGGATGACCTGGCCTAAATGTAACTTAAGAACTCAGGACACTGGCTCAATTGCAAGGACAAACTATACCCTGCATGCTAATGTACATATCTTCAGGCAAAACTGTTTCACTACCAGTTGTTTTCAGCTACAAACATATCTAACCACACCATCAGCAACTCGTGGCCCGATCCACCGCATGTGACTTTGCACACCCAGTAATCGTGATAATCTCGTCAACTTTCCCCATGAATTCATCTTCTCCTTGTTCCTTGTGAGGCATAATCTGCAATGAAGAAGACAGCACCCAAACCTTTGCATCCAATGTCCTAAGGGCCGCTGGATCACGGTCATAATCCTGCATGCCCAAACAAAGGACAGTTTGGAATTACAATGGATCATCAAGAAAAAGATTAGACACTAAGGATTCAAAAGACACTACCTTCTCAGTAACTAAGACTATGATATCTTTGCTGTGCTGGTCCATGAGATTCCTCACCATTTCTTGGATTATCTCTAGGTCCTATTGGAGGTAAATAATAAGAGAAAAGGCAACCATCACATGATGAGTGGAAAATAGCCATCACTAATAAAATACATGATCACAGAAGCTGTGAGTATTCTGTTGCTTTAGCAGAGAACAGAAGTAGTTTGCTGCATCGTTACAAGTAGTGGTTCATATATTTTGCAGTCAAATAACTAGGACAGGGTGCATGTACATGCTGGACTACATGTCGGTGTGCGTTCTGTTTCAAGACTCATTTTTAAAGTAGGCATCTTGATTGTGCGGAATTTAGCTGTGGTGAGAAATAAAAGAGATGGCTGCACTTACATGAGCATTGAAGAAATGATGGTCACTGAAATCCAACCTATCAACTTTGAGTGGACCAATCTGCAGCAGCAAGGAGAGATATTACAATTGAATAAGGATGGAATGGGCTTAGATTTTGTGCTTTCAATGAATTACTTCACTTTATAATGTTTAGTACAGGAAAGGACCAAATGCTTCCGATTGATTAAGGAAATAGGTGTGTAATAACTAGTGCAGGCTACAACAAATTTCTAAGCAGGGCATTCACAGGTTCAACCCTTGCTAACAATAACATGTTTCCAACAGTTCATGTTGTATTCCCACCACAAACAGGATTATGGCAGAGAATATGTAATGCCAAGAGGTTCTGCACAATGGAAATAAACACAAGTAAAAAAAAAAAAAAGTACCTCTCTGACTGTATGAATGAAAGCATTTGGACAGCCAATTGCAGAAACACATAGCACAATCTTATCATTCAACACATTAAGGGGAAGTCTCTGTAATGGTTGCTTAACTTCAAAAAGATGTGATGGAGCCAATCTGCTGTAGAACACTGAGCATGTTGCGCTATTATCCTCTATTGTGGACCTTATTGATTTAAGTTGCGCTTCAGAAGCCTGTTAAGGAGAAAATGATAATTCAGAGAACAATTCAAGCAATGATCAATTGCTTCTGGTCTGGTAAACATATTCTAATCTACAACAAATAACTCATATCTAACAATGGTATTCTTTATAGAGGGCGAAAAACTCAAAGCGAAGGTGACAGTTACTGTGCATATTGAATTATTGATTCAAGTTCAAACAGTTAATCCTACGAAAAGGGAAAAAGGACGGAAAACCCTTCTCGTTTCTTCAGGTCCTCTTATCTCTCAAACTACTTTAACCTAACTGGTCCCTGAAGGTAATTATTACTTATTGTATGGAAATTTAATTTTCAATTGAGGAGTATGTGCTTTGGAATTTTGGAACAACTCCATGCTCTTCCATACTACTTGAAAACAGACAGGCACAATTAACAATAAGAAGCAGTAACATGTCCCTCCAATTTCTTGTCAAGATCAACTACACACCTCAACAACATAGTTTTATACATAAGCCAGAGCTATGACCCACACCATGAGTGCAATAGTAATGTTATAACAGTAAGCTGTAAAGCAAAACAAGATAAGAGACGGTAATTTCTCTATTACCACATACCATGTCAGCATTATGGATGATCACAATATCAGCTCGACCAAGTGTGCTCAGAGGTTCTCTCATGGGTCCTCGTGGAATGAAATGGGTGTTTCCCCATGGAGCCAACCCATTAACCATCACAATCTCCACATCTCGGAGCAAGCTCCAATGCTGCCTAAAAGGAAGGGATGTATGGAAAGAGCATATAAGTAAACAGCCATAATGATAGCTTCATCCATAATCCCACATAACGTTGTCAAACAATTACTAAATCGGAAAACAGAAGACAAAATGCATCTCCATGTGTACCTGCATACCGTCATCTAATATGGCTACCCCAATCCTACTACCAGATTCCAATTTGCAGGCTGATGAAAGCTTCTTCTTGGCACAGGTGGTCTGAAAATGGTGAGTAAAGCCATATTCTTGCAGCATGGAAGAAGCCACTGCTGTTCTATTTGCACCTACCCCGATCTTGGCCGAAGTATCAGAAAGGCGCCTCCGGAGCATCTTTTGCTCATCGCCGCCTGCATAACCCTGCGACACAAGTGTCAGGATTGTTCACCAACACAGACACTAAGGTAGTGTAGCCTAGTTTTTGAAGAAAATGACGAAGAGAAGGAGCTTAACCCTTGTCAGAATTAGTGGAGAGACGCCGAGGCGGTGGAAGCTGCGGGCCAAGAATTCGACCATGGGCGTCTTGCCATTGCCACCCCAAGTGAGGTTGCCGACGCTGACGACGGGCACGGGCAGCGCGCGGCGCGGGCGGAGCCGCGAGAGGAGCAGGGACAGGCGGAGCGCGGCGGACGCGGCGGAGAGGAGGGGGAGGGTGAGGGCGCGGTGGAGGAAGGGCAGGCCCCGCACGGCAGAGTCCGGGGTGGCGGCAAGGCGAGCGATGAGCTGCCTCGCCGTCTCCTCCATACCACCATACCCGTCCCCGTTCAGGGACGGCGCAGCGGCCGGAGATATAGGATGGGCTGCCGTTGCTTTGCGCCGCCGCCGGGAAGGAGAAGAAGGCGCAGGGGCGGCGGCGGTGATGTTGGGCCTTTCTTTTTGATGGGCTAGCATCATGATGGGCCTTTTTGGAATAGTTTGCTTTTGAGCCTTGCCCAAGTTAATGAAAGGATGTTTCAGATTTTCTTGGCACAATTTTCTTATGATGATGAACGAATTGACGATGATTATTGAAAGAATCAGCTAGGTATAGAGGGGTAAAGAGACTATTATCTTAAAATTCAAACAAGCTAGCTGCAGAACTAAGTTCCATTTACCTAAGCTCTGGTTTTTCACTAAAAAAAAACGAGCTCTGGTTTCAACCGAATGTCTAGTACCGGAAACTGGATGTCCGATCAGGTAGAAAAGCCCCTATGAAATTATATGGATTTGACTGAATAAGTTTGAATCACTTGTTATCAAAATATCTCGGAGATGTAGAGGTAAACCCAAGTATCACCGCACTCAAATATGGTTGAACAAGTAGATAGGGTAATTCCCCCAAAAATCAACGGGGACAAGCTCAAGGACACACAAAAAACACAAGCACACCAGAGACACAATATTTAACACAAAGGTTTTATCAAACCACAAAAGAATGCCTATATCCTCGTTGTTGAGGAGGCCACAAAGCCTCGGGTCTCTCCCAACCTTATCTTTTCCTTGAGCAATTCACGAAGATCGAGCCTGAGGGTTCTTGCTAAATATGTTAGGATAATACAAGTTTCTCTTTTTTTTTGCGCTCAAGGATAATACAAATTTCTAGGAGCACTCCATAAACACTTAGGGTGCTCAACAAGTAACTCCTTATCGTCTAGGATTCATCGAATCCAAGAATAACAAACTCGAATTCAAGTCTTAGAAGGAGTCTCCAAATGCTCAAAGGGTTCAAAAGGAATGTTTGATGTCCATCTTTCACACTAATCTTTTCCCTCTCACTCCACACTTCAAATATTTCAAGTGATAAGTTTCTAGAGTTGTGGAGGAGAGAATTTAATGCTATGACTAATTTGTCTTAAAGTGAGTGGAGAGAGTTATAAAAAAAGGGGGTAGATGGGCCTAAAAATGCAAACGCTATCGTGTTGACTCGTGGAATACCGAGCATTAGGAAATATGTGAAAAGTGCACATGAAAAACTCCTAGTACCAGTCATCACATCCGGTATGCTCAACCTGAGCACACGAACTAGAGCATCGGTTCAGACTTAGGCCACACATTAGTCCATTGATTGTGTATCATTAATCCGCAAAAAAACCCACAGTATGGTTAGATGCACTTTCAAAGATTCAAAGTCATCTTTTACAGTTTTTTAAAGTTTTGATTCCTTGGATATATGAACATGTGTTAGTGCCGTATAAAAAACATGGCCGTGTACATATTGTTTGGTCTAAAGTCCATACCCTAAACAATGGGTGGCTCACTCTCTAGCATTGAGGCAAACACTGGAAACACATTTCAGATCGAGCTGAATTCATCATTAAAAAAACGCCAAACATTCCTATATGGTCGTAACAACGTTGAAGAGGTCAAGAGAATGAAGCCGACAATGACAGATAGACGTAAAGTAACTGTTAAAGCCCAGCTTTTTCAGATAAATTATGACGAGAAATCGTGCAGTTTCTTTCTTCAGATGTTTCTTTCTTTCAGCTCGAGGAGTCTTTTTAGCTTTCTTGAATTTGGTCGTGTCCGTGTGTGCTGAGTGCTGACTCAAAAGTCAGTATATTCTTTTTGTGGGCCCATGGTTTGGTTTTTTCGCGGTCTTGGGCCTTGTTTAGATTGAGATTAGAAATCAGTATTTGGCATTGTACCACTTTCGTTTGTATTTGACAATTATTGTCCAATCATGACCTAACTATGCTCAAAAGATTCGTCTCGTAATTTACAATTAAACTGTGTAATTAGTTATTTTTTTATCTACATTTAATACTTCATGCATGTGTCAAAGATTTGATGTGATGAAGAGAGAGTGAAAAAACTTGCAATCTAAACAAGGCCTTGGTTTTATTTGGCATTGGATTGGATAGAGTTGGTTTTATTTGGCATTGGATTGGATAGAGTTGAGTACTTGAGTTGGAGAGCTTGCAGTGCATGCAGCTGGGGTATGATTAGTAGGAGGAAGAAAGTGGCTGGGGCACACATCAGCTTCAAAATATGGCATTTGGGTTGTCATCTTTCGCCAAACCACTTAAATGTCGACGACTGATGACTTCATGAGTAGTGCGTGTGTGTGTGTGTGTCTATATGTATATTCTATGGTTGGACACATCTGGATTGTAGAGTTTTGAGATTATTATGAGTAGAGATGATTAATGAGAGTCCCCAATGCAAAGCATTCACATTGGTATATGATACAGCCAAATATATAATCCACAGAATGAAATAACATTATCCATCTTTTAACTCCTATCTTTTCGCAAGTGATGATTTCATGAGTATTGTGATTAATTAATTACTAATGAGGGTTCGCAAAGCTTGCATTCACGTTAATTCTTGGTTATTCAAAACCCATATGCTCCGTGCCAAATAGCCAAAGTCACATCATAGCTGGCATGCACATTCTCCTTTTGACAGCGGCATGGGTGTTTGGTTCCTAGGGACTAAGTCTAGTTAGTGTCATATTGGATGTTTGATACTAATTTGGAGTACTAAAAATATAGCTTGTTCGGCTGGGATGAAATTCGATACTGTTCATGCTGGAAACATTGTTCATGCTGAAAACACGTGAGAGAAAAACACTGCTGTGGCTGAAAAAATAAAGCATCCAGCCAGCCAAAAGTGACCAGCCGAACAAGCTCATAGATTAATTACAAAACTAATTGCACAGTTCGAAACTAATTTGCGATATGAATCTATTAAGCTTAATTAGTCCATGATTTGATAATGTGGTGCTACAGTAAACATGAACTAATAATGGATTACTTAGACTTAATAGATTTGTCTCGCTAATTAACCACGGTTTCTGCAATTAGTTTTATAATTAATTTATATTTAGTCCTCCTAATTAGCATCTGAATATTCGATATGACAAGATCTATTAGTCTCTCGATCCTGAGATAAGGACTATGGCTACAGAGACTTCGAAAACGTGTAAAATTGCTTATGTCCTCCAGCCAATCGTCCCACACGGCCACACCGACAGGACACGATCTGGCAACAAATTTTGCCGTGTCTGTCATGGTGTGATGTTGCGTGGAGGTGTAATGATATGTTTTTTTTAGTATATGCTTCTTGTGACTCATGAGCAGGTACCTAACATGGACAGAAGCAACTACTCCTGCTCACATGGTACGGTGTGCCGCAGAGCCAGCAAAGTTGTTGCTTGACTATGCATGACGACCTAACCATGCATCTATGTGACTTGCGAAATTAAAAACAAACATGACGTTGCAACTTGCCAGTTAAGTAACACGAAGGATAGAAATTAAATTAATTAAACAGGTAGCTGTCTCATGCAACGCAAGTGCAGAACTTTTGCTAGTGGTTATCGAGTAGACACATGTTAATCCATTATTACATGATTGGCATTACTGCTCTCTAATTATATATGTGCAGCAGTGCAGGTGTGACGTGGTGTAACGCGATTATTGTATAGTTGGAGCGCTCATGGAACCGTCAAAAATTATGAATCATATATAGTTGCGCTAGATGTGCAACCTGTTGCACGCCTGTGTTATTCGTTCATCATGTCGTGAAATTTTTCTCATGTAGTAAGGCTCAGATTGGCACGGCTCTTGGAGCAGCTCCGTCTCCTGCCGGAAGAAGCTGGAGCAAATTTTCTCTTGTGTGGACGGAGCCAGTAAAATGTGGCCTCGCACCGTGTCCTCTCCTCACACTTAATTACCAAATTGGACATAAAAAACCATTAGGGCTCGTTCGGCTGGTTGAGAAACTAGCTGGATTTTACTGTGCGTGGATGAAAAACACTGTTTATTATCTCACAAATTCATCCAGATTCCTCCCAGCGAACAGGGCCTTAGTCATGCCACCGAACCCATACTCATCGTGCACGCACCAAGGCTGTCGTCCGCCGAAGCCATACTCACCGCACAGGCGCCGAGGCTATAGGACTAGAGTGTAGAAGGTGTCACATCGAATGTTATATGGGGTGTCATTTGAGGTATTTGGATACTAATAAAAAAATAAATTACAGAAATTCTCAGTAATACGCGAGACAAATTTAGTAAGCTTAATTAACCCGTCATTAGCATATGTTTACTGTAGCACCACATTGTCAAATCATGCAGTAATTAGGCTTAATAAATTCGTCTCGCAAATTAGTCTCAATCTGTGCATTTAGTTTCGTAAATAGTCATATGTCAAAACATTCGATGGGACAACTACTAAAGTTTAGGAGGTGGAACCAAACACCTCATATTCTTTTCTTTTTTATTTCTATCTTGTTTTAGGCATAAAATTATTCGAAATACTAGTGTGTGCGTTGCAGGTTTGAAAAATGCTAGTATGAGTTAACCTCTAGATAGATAACATGTAATGTGAATTCTCAACCTATTGTCAGGATTTTAAATAACAATTTTCTCCTCTCCTCATGGCTCAAATGTCCTACCAAATACCAATATCAAATAGAAAAAAAAGATATTATAAACAAGGCAAAAGCTTTGGGCTGCATTTGCGGGCATTTAACGCATCACACACCCACCTCCCCCATCTCCCTTGCCGCTTTTTCCCCTCTCCCTCCATCTCGTCTTCCCCACCGCAGCCACACTCGAAGGTGAGACCCTACCGCGAAACTCCAGCTGCTGCGCAGGCGCTCCTCGACGACTGTAGTAGCCTCCTCGACAGCCGCACCACCGCCCCTACTTCCCCAACTCCGGCATGTGGTGCTGACAGTGCAATCAAGCTTTAATTGTAGGTTTTGGTGATAATGACCACACAATTAGAGAACTAATGAGATTTATCAAGATGACAAGCAGGAAAGTTATATTCGAGGATGCTACACGAAACGGAGGAGCCCCCAATTACAAATATAGATGGCTTCAAACTCAAAAGAGATTTAAGATTCTTTTATATCTTGAATTTGAGTATAGGAAAAGCCGTACTATAAAGGGTGACATAATGCT